AGATTTTAATCTTTGGTCAAGGCTGAGACAGACCAGCAGGGCAGTGACTCTGAGCACCGTATTCCTCCTGCTGTCTTTGCCAGGTCTGTCGTTACACAAAGGACTTCATTCTTCATTCTGGCACTATCAAAACCTTTATACACTAGTTCTACAAACTGATTTAGATGTTGTGATGGGGAGCACTGCTACATCCATCCCTGGATGTTTTTAAACCCAGAAAGGTGCCTTGCCTCTGATACAGTGCAGCTGGGGTCAGGGGGAATCCCAGGTCAGTGTGAGCATTTTGAAATAGCAGATTTTCTCCTTGTCTGCCCCCGAGTGTGGATATGGAGCCACTTGATCCATGGTAGTGGCAGCCAGACAAGAGCAAGCTGAATGCAGAACAGAGGTGAGCCCTCAGAGCAAATCTGATCAGATAGGAATTCAAAACAGCCAGTATGCTCAGTCTGGGCTCCCTGGACTATCCAGTAGGGGTGCTGAGGGAAAGAGCATCATTCACATCTTACACCACATGCACCTGCAAAATTGATGGGCTTTAACCTGAGGTTCAGGGAGGTGAATGCCTGTAATTACTTACCTACATTACTCCCTTCAAAATGCAGCAGAAACACCTTTTAGATGAGGAAGAAAGTGACAGTGCTGCTATTTGTTTCGGAGAATAGTTACAGCAGTCACCTGGTGAGACAGCAGAAATCCACAAGCTCAAGGTCACGCGTACTAAGAAGTCAGAAACATTGATCTTTAAAGGTGACAAATGTTCCAGCTTGATTCTGACATACAGGTGAACATGTAAGCATTTAGCTTTCAATCTATGAAACTTGAGTACAACTCATAAATTGCATTAAGCTATGAAACTTGAGTACAACTCATAAATTGCATTAAGCTAAGAAAACAGGTTAATAAATATTACCTTATTCTGCCAAAACTTCACGTAATATTACACTCCTGGAAAGCAAGGAACTCTTGTTTCATATAACTATCAGTATCACAACTGCCTGGAATTCTTTCAGTATCAATTTTCTTTTAGCACCAATATTTGGAGTTATTTGAGCCAAATGTCTCTCCTGCCTAAACAGGACTTCATTTCTATAGCATTTTGTTGTGGAGAAAAAAAAAAAAAAAGGCATTTTCCAAACATACAACAGACTTATTGCTTATACTTGTTTTGTGTTTTATTTCTTCATTTTTACAGTGATAATACACTTTATTATATGAATATAATCCACTTTTAATATTAAAAATTTTTCATTGTTCATCTGTTAGAGAATGCGTAAGCTTTTCATAGAATCACAAAATGGTTTGGGTTGGAAGGGACCACAAAGATCATCTAATTCCAACCCCCCTGCCATAGGCAGGGATGCCACCCACTAGATCAGGTTGCCAAAGCCCCATCCAGCCTGGCCTTTGAACACCTCAGGGATGGGGCATCCACAACCTCTCTGGGCAAGCCTGTTTCAGTGCGTCACCACCTCACAGTGAAGAATTTCCTCCTAACCTCTAATCTAAATCCCCCATCTTTTAGTTTAAAACCATTCCCCTTGTTCTGTCATTATCTGATCGAGCAAAGAGTTGCTCACCATCTTTTTTGTTTTGTTTACATATTTCTATGCCCCCAGCTTTTGTAGTAGCTGAGCACTTCACATTAATTACATTTAGCCTGGCAAACACTGGGAAATGATGGAGTTCTAGCAGTCCTCCTCTACTTTATTTTCCCAATAGATACGGACCTAGTCGCAGACAAACAAAAGTTTTTAAGAAACTTAACTGCTCTTTGAAGTGGATTCCGTCTGCTTTCAATAGAAGCATCAAGCCTTTGTGGGTCTGGGCCTGTAAGTCTTATCCAGGACAACATACAAAACCTGTAACAGTTTGCTATAATGCTATGCTATGCAGGCTATGCTGTATGGTATAATGCAGCCTGGTATCCTAATGATTTGGATATTCATCAGCTTCTCCAAGACCTGGAAGTTAAGGTTGTTTTGCAAGTTTGGTCATCCATCTGCATACTGTGATAGGCAGACAATTATTCCCTATGCAGGGAAAAAATTGTGTGTGTTTCAAAAAAGATAACACATTTTAGACACTGAGCAGTACCATTCATCATTTTTAAACCTGGCATGGCTTAAGATTTCAGCATTAATCTTCTTGCCAACATGTGATATCAGACAGTCTCTTATGCCCCGTCTGATTGCTTAAAATAACACATTGCCATTCCTTTGGGGTTACACAATTACTTAATGTTGATATAAATAATGGCTGTGGTTTAGGCTTCCACGTAAGATGCTCCATAAAGCTCCCTAGGCCTAATTTCATAAACATCTTCAGAACAGCAGCCACCAAAACTGAATAAGACGCATCTTCTTCTCCCCCTAAAATGTCAGTGTATTTGTTAGAGAAAGTCTGGTCAATGGAAAGCATATCTGCACGTTAGGAGGCTGAATTTCAATATAAGGATGTCACTACTACAGCTGAAGAGAGAGCATCTACTGGACTAAATAGCATTACATGGAAATACTTACGGATTAACCTCCTGTTTCACACTGCCTAAAGCTTTTGCTCTCAGGCCAGCTTTTACTCCTGGTAGTTTCTGCTCAGAACTGCATTATTTCAGAGTGTATTCTAATTCACCTAGCAGATACAGGAAAAAATGTACTGCACATTAGGCAAGGTTTTCACAGTAACAGACCACAGTAGCTGAATATGGGCAGTAAATATTTCTTCAGTCCAGAAAAGCAGTTTTCACCGGTACAGATTTGTCCAGCACATTTCCCAATCTAATCAACAAACTCAGTATTTTAGTTTGCAAGTGTTCTGTTCTGTTTTGGCGAGGTCAGAAAATTCAGCCCATTCGAATTAGATCAGAGCCAGGACTCAGCTACTGCAGAGGAGATGACACTGCTGAAGGACAAGCTGGTGTCTGCAAGAGCTGAGGTTGCTCAGTAGGCTTGCCAGCAGAGTTCAGCTGTTTCCAATGAAGTCTAGCATCTACAGGACACGGTAAATAATATGCTATGCTACTCAAGATTAAAATTTTGTAAAAAGAAGGAACAACTGAATACCAAAATTAATGACAAAAAAAGAGCCAACAGGCGTCTGGAGGTGAATTTGCAGGAAATATCACCGATTAACATCCAGCAGACTCTCACACTGTATATTCAGTTCTACACATATGATGTCTGACAGCTTTTCAGGGTACAAACAGAGCTCGTATTTCTGCACAGATGTATGAAATGTCCCTCTGTACTGAAAGGGTTTTATTTTTAGCAAACCAGTAGTTTACTATTGAAGCAAAAGGTTTCAATCAAGCAAATTAGACATTCATTCAAGATGACAAATTGGAAAAAGAAGCAGAGAGACAAAAAGTTTCTTGTTTGGATGAATTTCCAGATGATGCTATTACAATGTTCTCCTCCAGATTTTGTTACTTAACTACTTCACTAGTCAGTTCAAAAAGTATTTCCTCACCATTTTGCATAAACAATTCCTGGTCCTAGAGTCAATGTAATCCCAACTAACAGAAACAATGACAACAACAACAACAACAAAAAACAAACAGTAATGCAAAGGTACCTTTAAAGCTGCTGTAAGCTTCCTTAAACAGTGGACAGCAGTGGAGAATTTTACCTTACATCTTGTTTATTGATATGGAAGTGCTGACCTCTGTAAAATAATGTATCTATGACTACAAATTCCCCTGGCTGACAAGAAACTCCTGGAAGGTGAATCCAGGTAATTCTATTAGACTAAATTCAGTTCTGTTGTTAAGTGGGGACACACTAATAATTTGTCAACAGTTCTCCATTCAGTAAAGTAGAAAGTAAAGATGTATGATAATGCCTCAAACAAATGAGAGTTATTATTGCTTATAGAGGTTCAAACGTAATTGTACAGAAATTTATGTCTCATATGGTCTTTTAGCTTTGATTTCAGTGCTTATGTTCTCTACAAGCATGTTGTTTCGTTCATCCAAGCAATTTTCTCAGATAGTGAGAAGCCTCCCGACTTTAATTTTATTTAAGCAACATTGGAAATAATTTTTCCATGTCAAGAAAACTGTAATTTTTAAAGTCTTCCTATTAGTTGGGGACAAAAAGGAAAAATCTCTGTAAAGAGACAAATACTTTTAAAAAGCTGAAAAAAATGAAAATCAACTTAAGCATCTTATTTAATAACTTAAAAACATTTCATATTAAGCTTGACTTTTTATTTTACTGATTTGAAACAAAACCGTTTCAAATAAATCAGATTTTCATCTAAGAAAGTTCTACTTCCAGTTTTAAAGCAAAGGAAGCATATTATGAATGGAAAAAAAAAAAAAAAAAAAAAAAAAAAGTTCAAATATTTTCTATCATGAAGCTGGATTTTTCCCCTAGTCAATGTTTATTTTCTGACTGAAAGACCTATAACATTTCATTCTAATCCTATGGCTCAAATAACTTTCCAAAATAAATGTTTATATTGTCTTCCAAAATCAGCTGTAGGAAAAATTAGTACCAATCCTGTCTCTCGTCTTCTCAAACTGTACCTGCCATTCCAGCAGGAATAAGTAGAAAAAATTGTAACATTTTTCTGTACTTTCAGCAGATGGTTACCCTTAGGTGTGAAGTTACAATTAGTTGTTAACAACTGCACTAGATAAATTGCTATCCAAGTTGGATCATACAGAACCTTACTCAGTATTATTAAGGATATAGAACTTCAGGAACTATGGCAGAGGCTTGTGTTTATACATAACATTTGGGTTAACTAAGTGATTTTTTAAAAATATATTTAATTAAACTAATACAAACATCAGATAGCTAATCTATGTAAAACAAACTTGCTTGTATGTGCTCAGGACTGTAAGGATTAATCAGACTCTAAAACTGATAAGTGTCGTTGTACAGAGGCAAAGAGAGCAAGAAATCACACTGATTTACTGCCAAAACGTCTCTCCAAGTCAAGGCTGAAGTCCAGGAGCAAAGGATACTTTGCTTTTTCACGCCTGGAATGCATGTAGTTCCCAAGGATTACACTTTAACAGAGTTTATTAAATAAATAAATAAATACATCACTTAGCATTTATTTAGAAAGTAGTTTTACCACAATAGTCCTATTTCAGAGGGTATGATGCGGACTGCAGTTTAAACCAGAATTTAGAGTACAGATTAAAGGATGAGAGAGGTCTGAGGACTACCAAATATTGGGGTGGGTTGACTAGTAGGGGACGTAGACTGAATGTATCAAGTTTGATTCAGTTACGTGTGTTATTTTAATTCAGAATATTTAGTAGAATGAAATATCTGATAGAAGGAAAAAGGATTCTTCTTGAAATTACTCAAAATGTAACATTACTGAACAAGTAGAAGAAAAAGTATCACAGAAGTAGGATGCAACTTTAACTTCAGCTTTTCAGGGCAATATTGTTGCAAGATTTTATTTGCAGAAGAGACAACCACAAGATGGCTCCTTTCATATTACGCTAGCTAGAACAGAAACCTATCCTGATAACGTAGGCTGCTACGTCTTTTCACTCCTTTTCACGAAGAATTTAAATGCCAGGCACCATCCTCTCTTACAAAAAGCCAGTGCTACAATTGCATGATTAAATCACGGTTTAGAGAGGAGCACGCTCTTTCTTGAATGAGTAAGGACCAAAACCCTCAAACGCAGCACCTAATCTCACTGAGGAGGTTGAGGGTTTCAAGAACACTTGCCAGGCTCAGAAACAGACATTTCACACACTTCACCTTTCTCAAGATTTTTGTTTGTTCTCTTTGTAAGAGGAAATGACATTTTTTCCCTTTATTTATTTATTTATTTATTTATTTATTTATTTATTTATTATTACCATGGAAAGATTTCCAGATTATTGAATTTTAAAATTATAAATTGGTTTATTACCTCCACATCTGGGTAAAAGCAGTCAGTTCACAGGTTTGTTTGTTTCGTTTAACATTTAAATAAAAATCAGGTAAATGCTTCAAGCTTCCATCCAAGTGCAAATCAAAACAGTACATAGAGTAATTACGGAAATGTTGTTCTTGACATAGGAAAGTTTGTTTGGTGTGAGAGGATTATTATGCCTAATTGCACAGACTCCATGCCAGCAACCACGAATTCCAGGAGTCATAATGTGCAATGCCCCATGGTGTCCTTCCTCTGGACACAAGAGATGAAATTTTTGTGCAGTCCTTAGCGTTCTTAAATCTCAAAATGCTGCAGAGCACAACTTGGGTAACGTGTACAGGTTGCTTCCCCCGTCTCTGAACCACAGGAAGCTACTCACCGTTGCAAGGGAGGAAGACAGCATCTCTAATGAAATACCAGGAGGAATTCAGGGAGTCATCATGTGAATTACTTAAAGAGCAACTTGAGCAACACTCCTCCACACAGACATGCATTTTTTTTTCAGATGAAAGATCATTCCTGCATGTAAGTACTCAGGAATTCACTTTTATATTCATCCTAAATGTAAAGATAAATAGAGATATCGTGATCTTTTTATTACTATTATTATTATTATTTATTTATTTTTAAGACAAGGACATTGAAGGACCTTTCTATTTCTGTCATTTATGCTCATTATAAATGGAAATGGCTTGATGCTGATTTCTTACAGAATTATGTTTTGTTTTTCACTACAATGCTGGTATTTGGTCTCTCAAGAAACCTTAACTTTCAGTTAAACCTCATAATGAATGTGGAAAAATGAAGGACAGTTTGTCAACAAGCCAAAAAATATAATTAAATCCTTTACTTGTTAGGCACTAGACCTCTGTTAAGCATGGCCCAGATGAGTCACACGTATCAGGAAGAGAATAGTTGCGTGGAGGCAGAATTGACAAAGCCTTATGATGAATAAGGTCACTCTTCCCAGGCTCATAAAAGATGGCAACTTTACAACTGTAGCATAACAAATCTGTTTTTATTTATTACCCACAAAATCACATAGTTTCCTAAGTAGTGAACTTTTTTTTAAAAAAGGCTTCTTTATGCATGAGTAAATATTTTTCTAATGAAATCTTGATATGTCTTGCAACCCAACCCTAGTTTGTTTAATAGTGAGATAGCTTTTCTCCAGGGAAAGCAGTAAGAAATGGGGGATGGGAAAGGGAGAAATTGGCTCTGGCTACAACGAGCAGCTGCTCTTGCTACTTGCCTGCAATGGAGTAATACATCAGTAATTATTTGAAAGTCAGACAGATTCCCTTGCTTTCCTTGCCAGACAAAACTCTGAGAACTGAAGACTGGAAAGGAGGATAAAGGACTTTCAGTTTACTGTTTTTCCACTCATGGCTTTTTTTTCCATGTTAGCAGCTACTGCTGCTATTAATTTTCTGGTCTTTGTGCCCTGAGAGGCCTCACATACTATGCAAACTTAGTTTTAGCACTTGAGCACTAATGCTTTTATGTTTATTAAATTAACTTTTACAAAACGTTCCAGCTGTTTCTACCATTAACTTCCATCTGAAAGAATAATGTTTATTTCCTATTCTATTTTAGGAATGATCCCAACAAAACAGTTGGTCTTCATGGAAGAAAGGTGAAAACAGCAAAAAAATCCACATAAGAAAACATTTCAAGTGGTACACCACTCAGCTGTGGTTTTCCGTGCAAGCAGAAACAGGAAGTAAAGCTAATCTTTGAACTAGTCCCTGAAGATGATGAATCAGACTCTATTTACACTAGGAAAATGATGGAAAGCTTCTCACCGTTGCTAAAACAAATTCATGGCATCTGAAGAAATGTTACATTTTCATCACAGTTCACAGAGATCCAAAATAGAATGAATAATGAGTAATGTCTGAATTAGTTTGTCCTTTTGCAAAATCCCCCTCTTAGATTCCCGTTAAGAAATCTAAGGAAGAAAACACAATTAGCTAGTGTAACGCCCCACTGACCCAAACATGGACTTGGCAGCAAGGAATTCATTGCCCAACAACCTTCTGCAAAGACAGGCTATTTTAAGGGGTTTGGGACCAGATAAAACGTGAGGAACTCCTTGTGCAACTAGGATGATCAAAGCAAATTATATTTATGGAGGATCTGCTTGTCAGAAAATATGTGCCTAATGTAGCCTAAGAAGCCTGTGGACTTCCAGGATAGATTAGGTCTGTACAGGCATGGCAGGGGACCTGTGTAAACCGATCACTTTTTGCTGCAGCAGCAGCTAAACACGGAAGAATACTCTTGGGCATCTCAAATGGAACCAGACCCATATGCACAAGCATGTAAATAAAGCCCTAAATGTTAACCACGGCAAGCTTGCCATAGCAAGGAAGGAGGGATTTGAATGGTACTAAGTATTCAATGAAATTCTAAAGCTGGGGGAGAGGGTTGTGTGGTTTTGTTGTGATGGTGGCTTTTTTTTTGTTTGTTTGTTTGTTTGTTTTTAAGAAAAATACCTGACATCAGTCTGCATGAGTTGTCATAAAATGCTCCATCTTCAACCTTTCTGCAAAGAAAAATGGGCAAATATAATTTATTTGTATCAAAATGGCAAAGAGAGGACACTGAGTACATTACACAGTTGTGTAAAACAGCAAATAATTTTTCACACAACACTTTAAAATAATTTATTTAGTATCTGAATGTATACTTACTAGACTCTATTGAAAATTCAAGAAGTCCTCATTTACAGACTATTTTCTTTCTTAACCTTTAGCCAAAAGAGAACAGAAAAGCAAGCTTAGCTAAAATAAAACCAATCTCTTCCTCTACCCTGCTTTGCCTATAAGCTCTTCCGTGTCTTTTTCAGTTTCTTTCTTAAGGGAAATTTAGTTCTGTTTCATTCCTCAGCAAAACATAAGACCCACCACCTTGGACTGACAGAAACTGAAATAAAGCTTCTCACTTCCCTTAAAAGACCAGGAATAGAACTGAGGACAAAATTAATGCAAATAGGCCTGCAAATAAGGTGTGTCTTTTTTTTTTTTTTTTTTTTTTTCTGAAATACACAAAAATATGGGTGACTAAACATAGTGGATGAACACTTCCAAGTCATAACAATTAGGAACATATTTTGTTGTGTATATAATACAGTAAGCATACTAGCTATTGTATTCCATTAAAGAATTCTAGTTTATAAAACACACTAAATGCTAAAATCTGTCCTCAGACAAACCAGAAAATGCAATGAACCTGACACACTTTTATATATTAATGCTTCCTTTTTTTTTGTAAAGGAGTGTAAATTACAGTTTAACCCACGACCGTCGATTTCCTGACTCACTCTACATGCACACAGACGGTAACAGCAGCTATATATGTCAGGGAGACCACACCCATCATCTGGAAAGAAGTTGGAACTACATACAGATTTATATTCTCTTTACCTGAACTTTTGCACGGAAAGATTGTCAAAAATATGTTTAAGACTTGTACTGTTCAGTACAGAGGGTAACTAGGGTAATGATAGAGAAAAGGATGAATTAGAATGTAATTGTAATGAAGAGTAAAAAAAAAATAAATAAAAAATTTAAAACCAGAATTCCCATGTCCCACTTCACAACATATGACAGCAGTTAAAGAAAACATTTTTAATTACAATTTAATGAAATTTCATTTAAAATTAATTATCCTACGAAGCCCATTGCCAAAATATATTACAGAAGTCAATAGGAAAGCAGAATATTAAAAATGACCTATTTTTATATTTTAATGGATAATTAATCACAATAAAAAACAGACAGCTATGAGTCTCCAAGTTATATGCAAACTACAAACTGATTAAGGAACCAGTATCATATGGTGATTACTATGGTTGTCTATTTTGGAATATCATGTGTAGATGACTAGCAAGGAGATAAAAAAGGTTGACCTCATAACAAGGAATCTACTCATGAAACTTGAGATCAGAGAATCCCAGAACTGCTGAGGCTGTCGGGGCCCTCTGGAGGCCCCAGCCCTGATCCAGCAGGGCCACCCAGCGCAGGCTGCCCAGGCCCATCTCCAGGCGGCTTTGGAAAGCCTCCAAGGAGGAGACCCCACAGCCTCTCTGGGCAGCCTGTGCCAGGGCTCCTGGGTGCCTTTTTGTGTCCATTGCCCCTTGTTCTGGCACTGGGCACCTCTGACAAGAGCCTGGCTCTGTCCTCTCAGCACCCTCCCCTCAGACATGGATGAGATCCCCCTGCGCCTCCCTTTCTCCAGGCTGGGCAGTCCCAGCTCTCAGCCTCTCCTGACAGGAGAGGTGCTCCAGGCCCTCCATCATCTTGGTGGCCTCCCTTGGACTCTGTTCAGCATGTCCATGTCACTCTTGTACTGGAGGACCCAGAAGTGGACACAGTGCTCCAGAAGTGGCCTCACCAATGCTAAGTGGAGGGGAAGGATCACCTCTCTTGACCTGCTGGCAACATTTTGCCTAATGTGACCAAGAATACAGTTAGCCTTCTTAGCAGCAAGGGCACATAGCTGGCTCACGTTCAACTTCTTGTCCACCAGGACCTCTAGCTTCTTTTCTGCAGAGCTGCTTTCCAGCTGGGTGGCCCTTCTCCTTGTTAACCTCATGTCAGCCTGTCGGGGTCCCTCTGGACAGCCACGAGGCCCTCTGGTGAGCAAAGATGCCAGAGCTCAGTTCCACAGGCAGGATTTCTGCATGTCGCTGTTAAAGCCACTTCCCCTCGCAGTGTTACACTTCCCCATTTGTAAGAGATATAACAGCACACGACTATCTTGCAGGCAGTGCTGGAAAGTAAATACGTTAATGATGGTGTCTATAAGGAAATTAGACAGACCGCTGTCTTTATTTGGTATGGCAGTTTCCACATGCCGGTAAGAAACAAAAACCACATGCAAATCTTGAATATGAATCTTCAGTAACGCAATATTTAATTTTTGCTCATCTTCCCCATAACCCAAGTTTTAAATATTCATCAGTTTTTATGACAGTTACAAACAATACACGAGTGACTATAAATGTCAGTGCTTGTACACAGCGCAGTGAAAAACAGCTTGCCTGTTTTCAAACTAAGAAACTGTTTTCTTTAATACCAGCCATTCTGGTAATGACCATTTTTATAACATAAGCTGTTGGTTTTTTGCTTCCTTCTTTCAACTGTGCTATCCTATGGAACCTTTGTTATTTAGTCCCAAAACAAGTCAAATGGTTAGCATCTGCCTAGAGAAGTTTGATATGGGAAATAAAAATCCACATAACCCACATAATCGACATAACCCAGAGAAGTGTCTATAGGATGGTAAACTCTTAGAGCTTCAGCTGAACATTTTTGAAAGGCGAAGGATCAGGCACTGAACTGAAAATTGCTGTAGCTGGAAGTACTCCCTCCCCTGGACAAAGCACTGAGCTTTTTGTGCTTCAGTGTAACCAGCTACAAAAGGGCTCATTTGTAATTCACCCTCCTCTACACATTATTCTGAGATTTATAACTTGACAGCCTTGTAGAAACGTAGTATTTTATTTTGGTGAGGTACACACAGAATATCTAAAAGGTGTTTGATGATCAATTTCACTTGATATTAAAGAAAACCCTTTAAAATTGTATAGGCCTCCTGGTACTTTTAACAAAAATTGATTTGCAGCTCGTTTGTCCCAGGACATGATTCCTGGCTTACACCGTTTAATAGTGCGTTCTGAAAAAGAATTATCCCTCGATTTTGGGGCGATAAATAAATCTACTTGGATTTACACAAACAAATTACCATCAATTTGAGTTTACTACTACCCGAAAAGTGTCTTGCAAATACTTTTGACAGAAAATAATTGGGAGCGACAAACAAAAGTTTCCTAAGGCTTCTGTGGCGTCAGTTACTCAAGGACTGGTTTCAAGTTGCAAGTAAAAATTTGGCACCGTCCCTCGACTCGGCCCCTAACGAAATTATCCTTTGTTTTGCAAGCCATTATGTAGCACAGATCCACAGCAATCTCCGAGCGCTGGAGAGCACTGAAATCAGCCAGAACGCGCTTTCTGCTGGGGACGTGATGTGAAAACACCACCATACCTATATATCCTGTATGTAGGTTATATACACCATACCCATATACCCCGTATGTACGTACCCATGGCAGGGGGGTGGGACTAGCTGGTTTTTAAGGTCCCTTCCAACTCGAGGTGTTTTGTGGTCCTATATATTTGGGACTAGGTGATCTTTATGGCCCCTTCCAACCCAAACCATTCTGTATATATTCTTATATATTGTGCTGGCAGCCCAGCGCCCACACCAGCAACCCCGCTAGGGGTCGATGAGGCACGGCTTTGCCGTGCTGGGGGGGGGGGGGGGGCGCATTTTGGGGGGCAATTTTGAAGGGGAAGGGAAATCGGGGGCAAAAAGGAGGGGTGAAGGGATGAGGGGAGAAGGAGGGGACTGCCTCCCGCCTGGCTCCTGCCCGTCCCCGCCCTCCAGGGGCGGTGCTGGCCGCGGGTGCCCGCCCCGCCGCCTTTGTGCTCGGTGCCTGCCGGCCGCCGGCGCCGCTCCCCGCCCGCTCCTTCCTCCTCTCTCTCCCCCTCCATCCCGCTCCCCCCCTCCCCTCGCCCCCCGGCGCCGCTTCCCCCTGCCCTGCCTCGCCCGGCTTCTCCTCGCCCTGCCCGCCATGTCGCTGGGCGCCGGCCCCGAGGCGGGTTTCTCCAGCGAGGAGCTGCTGACCCTGCGCTTCCCCCTGCACCGCGCCTGCCGCGATGGGGACCTGCCCGCCCTGTGCGCCCTGCTCCAGAGCTCGCCCCGCTCCGACCTGGCCGCCGAGGACTCCTTCTACGGATGGACGCCCATCCACTGGGCCGCGCACTTCGGCAAGGTGGGGCCCGGCGGGGGGGAAGGAAGGGCCGGGAGGGATGGAGGAGGAGGAGGAGGAGGAGGAGAGGGATGGCGGCAGCCCGGCTGGCGCGCAGCGCATCGCGGCGCCATCTTAGCCCCTTGCGCGCCCGGCCGGGAGGCGCCGCCGCCGCCCCGCTCCCCTCACAGGGGCGGCCGCCGCCTGCCCTGGGGCATCGCCCTGCAGCCCCCCGAGAGCCCTGCGTGAGCCCCACAAGCCTCCGAGCAGGGGCTGCTGGAGGAGGCTGCTGGTGCCTTTACGAAAATAAACGGGTTTATAAATAGCCCTCGTGGGATTGACGCGCTCAAATAGCTGCGAATTGCCGTCTGCAGGAAGGGGCACACGCGAGGAGCCGGCTACCAAATGTTTCCTAACCACCTTTCTTTGAATTATCTTTGCCTTCAAATCTGAGCGGTGTCTTAATTTCTTCGCTTTACATATGCTTTGTCTATTTATAACGCTGTGAGCGTGCCAGCCCGTGCAGGATTCAGGCCTGGAGGGTGGTTTTTTTTTTCCTCGGCGATGTCTCATTTCTGATTTTTGAGGGCCTTTTGTTCTCGTTCTCCCTCCCGGTCACAATATATTTCTATTTATGTATTGATTGTCTGCCAGGGAAGGAAAATGAGGGTTACTTAGGCGGACATAATGCAAGTACATTAAGAGATGCATTTTGTACCCTGAGTGATTTGATCTGCGGTACCCAGCGAACATTTTAGAAGCACGGCCAAGCAATCCTCCGGTCTTAAACACCAACACAGCAACAAAAAACACCCTGCTCTCTACCAGAAGCTAATCTTCTGTGTTCAGAAATGGGGTACCATAAATTTTGTCCTGAATTAAGCTGATACAAAACGTGCAGATATTGAATTGGCATCAAAGCTTTCAGTCTGTCGTGCATTTATGGTTCTGGTTTCCTTTAACCATTATCATAGATATTTTTTTTTTGCATGCACGTGGGAGTCTTGCTTTTGTCCTTGAAGCGTGTGCCTTGTTTTGTTTTGTTTTCCTCAAGTATTTTTAGCTTTCTGCCAGCCGTGCTAGGATACGTGAGCGCTTGTGCACGTTCTCTTCCCGTCGAAGAGACTCTTGCAGAAAAAGCCGCTGAAGGGAGCGAGTCGGTTTGCAACCTACTGTGTTTGTTCTTAGGTATCCTCGTCAAATTTGATTTGTGGTGTTTTTTTGTTGCTGTTGCATGTGAAATGGGCGGGAGCGTTTTTCAAGTGAAATGAAACTTGTAAAGACAACACCGGCTACAAACGTTTCGATATCACTTTGCATATACGTATGTTTAAAAAGCTTTGTGGCCGAGCAGCCTCAACGTACGAAAGTCATCTGCACGTTTTACAGTCTTGTTAGGTAATGTTTTCCTTTGAGGCAGGGACTGTGCAACAGAACCCCAGAGCGGCCGAGGTGGGAAGGCACCTCTGGAGGCCGCCTGCTCCAAGCCCTGCTCCAGCAGGGCCACCCAGCGCGGGCTGCCCAGGCCCACCTCCAGGTGGCTTTGGAAGGTCTCTGAGGAGGAGACCCCACACTGTTCAAGTTCTCAGTCACCCTCCCAGTGAAAAATGTGTTTGCCGATGTTTGGGCGGCACCGCCAGTGTTTCGACACACTTGAGAAGTTCCAGGATTGTAATTGGATCTCGGACTTGACTTACTTTGTGTTCGTTTGGCGTAGTCATAAATCAACCTTTCACAAGCTAAGGGGTGATTGCCAAAAGTGAAACAATAGCTGCTTTTAGTGGACATCCATATGCATGTCTTTATGTTCTTATTCATGTTTATTTTTTTTTTCAAATTAAGCTTGATCATAATTGCAAACAGAAAGTTTTCCTGCCTCTTAAAATACCAGGGTCTTACAACTTTAACTCCTAATGAACGTTTCAAAAATTACTGAGCAAGATTCTTTTGCTGCAGTGGTGGTTCTTTGTCGTGCTGGATTTTTGGGGGTTTGCAATTGGTTTTCTTTGCCTGCAAGAAATTAAATGGCACCAGAACTTCATTGCTGCTCTGGTATAGGACACTTCAGCAGCATGGTCCATCAGACACGAATGTTTCTAACTGCATCTCTGTAAGAGACTGAAATGACAAAACTGATTTAGCTATTTTTGGCAAGAAGTACTTGTAGAACAACTTGCCATAAGCAAGTCTAAAACAATTCCTATGCATAGACATGCATGCACACAGAGCATCAGCCTAGGGTTGGTGACCTTTAGCAATCTGTGGATGTTTCTTCACTTCTTTCACAAGCTGTATGTAGAGGAAAGCCCCCCTTACATCAAAGGACAACGCAAAATCACTTATAAACAAAGCTGTAGAACTGCCTTCCTGCACACGGTTGCAGATGTGCAGATAGGGAAGTAGCAACAAAAGTTCCATTGGAGATGAATATGCAAAAGATAATACAGCTTTTTATTGGGGAAATACTGATCTAATACTATCTATACATCTAATACTAGTCAACAAAAACATGGTATCTTAAAACTAAAAAAAGACAGTATTATAAATCAATAATTATAATTATTGAAATTCAATAATTATAATTCAATAATTATATAGCTTACTATGAAACAGACCTGTAGACCTTACAAGTAATAATTAAATTACCATCAGTGTCCATTAAAAATGGTAGGTAAGAATTCCTGGTTGCAATGTCTGACGTTATGGTGACAGTGTGGACCTCTGTCCATCCCCTCCTTCTGGAAGATAGTACAGATCACAGATGGTAGCACGTCCAAATGTACTTGCCGAGTTGAGTATCTGTGGTGGAGTTTCCATTTTCAGGGTATTCCCTCACTGCAGAGAAGTGCTTATATCCTGAGAAGTAAATTAATTCCCATTAGAGCTGCTGTGTTCGAATTAGAGTTAATTATATAGCGCCCTAAATTACCCTGATGTTATGCAGATTTTCGAGAAGATGGGTCAGAATGTAAAATGGTTAAAATGCTGTCAGGGAGGTAGAAAATACAGGGCTTGTGTTTAAAGGGAAAAAAAAAGTCACTGCTGATTCACTTTGTTTTATGCTTATTTTCATTTCATTTTTCTCATTCACTGCTCGCACGTGTAATTTTTGCTTCCTTTGATTATATCTCCTGGCTCGTGCTCTTCTCCTACTCTTATTTTTGCCGTTTGACTGTTTACATTAAAGGAAACAAAACAGTAGTAAGTACATTCTGTTTCTTGTGGAACAAAAGTAGCGCAGATAAAGCACACGTTTCTTCCTTGGTACTGTGCCAGCATTGTGGCCTATATGGAGGCCCGTCCGTTGTCTCCGCTAAATCAGCTTAACCTCCAATTTAGGTAAAACAATACAGTGGAAAATATCTTCTGAAACGTTATTCAATGAGAACGGGCTTGCGTGTCCTAATCTGAAGCATAAGTATTCTGGTGGGGCATTGTCCTTAGGTATGTTGCCTTTTTCTGTCCACAGAATAATTTGCCTCATTTTTCAGTAGCGTAGAAAGAAGCAGGCGCTTCTGACAGCCACCGTGCAGAAGAACCCTGCTTTTAATGGGAGGAAACCTTACCGTCATTGTTAAAACCCCGTAGGAGGTGGAGAGGGGGAGATACAAGGGGAAAAAAAAAAGAAACATGAAGTTAAAAATTTAAACACAAAGTCCACGGTGACACATAGGCGTTTCATAAAGCAGCTTCAAACAGTGCGAGATGAGACGGGGGCACCAGTTCCAATATTTTTCCCCTTGTAATTGGCAAGCCGTGAGGTCCGTGTAATTAGGGAAGCTGATGCAGCCCCGTTTCTGTAGAGGAAATATTCTTCCCTTAAGCTGCAGTGCTTTCCTGAAAGTGTTTGCAAATTAATTACATTGAAAGATTAGTTTTTAGAAAACCATCTGAATTTTACTTCTGCTTGCAGTAATAGTAGAGAAACACTTTGGTATAGAAGGTGCTTTTTTATCACATCACATTAATGATTACAATTATTGGTAATTATTAAGGGTTAACAGCAATATTAGGGTGCTAACTTGTAAACATGAAGCCTTACAGGTATCAAATACAAAGTTTATTTGGGCAATTTAGCATTGTAATTACAAATTATCTTACACCATTTTTACTGCATTCTTTTATGTATGTATATATATACATTTTTTTTCTCTTTTTTTCAGCAAACTTTCTTGTTTGCTTTTGAAAAGATACTTTTTTCTTTGGTAATGTTGAGATCTATGGAGTCTGAGCTGTTAGCATTGTGAAATCTCAGTTCCCCTCCCCCTTGGACACTTAATTGATGGTATGTTAATGGTACTTTTACATCAGGTCCGTTACTGTCCAAAAAAAAGTGGTTTTGTATATGCTACAGGATAGAGTTCATATCTGTGCGTTTGAACTATACAGGGAAAAAAATACAGCTGAAGTTCACAATATAGCTGAAAAGCAGAAAATACTGCTGTGGTTGGTCCTGGGCATGTAACTTATCGGCATCAGGAAGTTACAGGTTAAAAAAAAAAAAAGGACATTGTACAGAGGCAGAGAAGAACGCTGAAATGGTGATGTTCGTGCCTCTACCCATAATCAAGCTGCCAG